GTCAAGAACGGCATACTCATTGTTGTTGCTGTCTATGTAGATGACAAGCTAATACTCTCAAAGTGACACACAACCATTGAGCACATCAAGGCTCAGCTCTTGCAGGAGTATGAGATGAAAGATCTGGGGGAGGCATGTTGGATTTTAGGAATGGAGATACTTTGCAACCGTGATAAAGGTATCATACAGCTCTCACAGAAGAGATATGTTGAGAGTATTCTTGAGCACTTTGGAATGAGCAAGGGGCGAGCTGTCGTGACCCCCATTGAGCCTAACCTAAAGCTCAAAAAACTAGAAATTCCAGAGGCCGACACCAAGTCATACCAGGGTGCTCTCAGAGCCCTCATGTATGCAATGCTAGCAACGAGGCCTGACCTTGCCTTTACTGTAGGCATGTTGAGCCATCATACTGCATGCCCTGGGCATGAACACTCTACTGTGCTAAAGCGTGTTTTTCACTATCTGTGATGCACCCCAGATGTCTGCCTTACCTATAAGCGAGACTCAAATGCATGTGTGATCAGGTATGTAGATGCAGATTGGGCAGCGGATATCAATGACCGCTGCTCTGTTACTGGCTATACATTCATCCTTTCTGGTGGAGCTGTTAGCTGGTCATTGAAAAAGCAATCATCTGTTGCTCTCTCGAGTACAGAAGCCAAGTACATGGCTGCATGTGCTGCCATGAAGGAAGCCATCTGGATTCATACCCTAGTCCTCAAACTTGAGACTGTGTCATCACATGAACCCACTCCCCTCCTCATTGACAATCAATCTGCTATCTCACTGGCTTGAAATGCAATGTTCCATGACTGCACAAAACATATTGTGATCCATCATCACTTCATATGAGAGAAGGTGGATTCTGGAGAAGTAGTCGTCAACTATGTGTCTACCAATGACCAGGTGGCCAATGTGCTGACTAAGGGTGTGTCTAGGGAGAAGCATGTTCGTTTCTCTGAAGCTATGGGTATTGTTTTCTTTTAATTCCTTCTTGACTATACTCGCTGAAGGGGTGTGTTGGAGTTTATCACCTTTACCTTAGTTGTGGTTCACTGAGCACAGCATTATGTAATCCAAAAGCGGACACTTAGCAGTTTATTTTTTCCTTACTGCACCTCAGCTTCAACCAACTTGAAGTCTGAGGTGGGACTCTTTCCATTCATTATATTGGAACACTTACTTACCTACCTACAGTATATTCCTCTCCATAGGTAGTTCATTGTTTAGCTCCAACCAACTTGAAGTCTGAGTATATTCCTCTCCATAGACTTGACAATCCTGCAGTGTGTCATCCTCCAAAAGATTCCATTGACAGTGCATAAGGGAGCCATAGCAAGGCCTACACAGTTCCCTTCTGCATCTCTGACACAGTACTGCTCATAGGATGCCCAGGCAGCTGAGGGTGTCACATCTGATGTGGTTTCTAAACTCCCAATTGTTATCTTCTTTGTTGCAGCCAGTTCTCTGACCTGCTTGTGAATCTCTGGGCTGACAGCTAATAGGTCTTTAGTGGAGATTTCCGTCTTTGCATCTAAGACCTGGTTTATGATCTGCTTGGTTGCTGCAGCCTCATCAAAGCTGCTTTGGTAACAGAATTGAGGTGTGGAATTTGTAAATGGCTTAAACTTCTGGAGATCTGTAAGATTAGGAGCAACTGGAGTTTTTCTGGTTGCTGGGGCTTCTGAAGACAAGGCAGGGTTAGCTGGAGTGGAATTACTGACTGGGATAGGGGCTGCTGGTGTGTTGACTGATGCTGGAACTGCTAGTGCTGGCCTTTGACAACAAGCCAGGACTTCTATGCCATTGAAGTGAGCTGTCTTCTTTTTCTTGATAGCATGCTTCAACTCTTCTACCTGTGCATAAGCCCTTGCTAAGGCACATTGGTCCTCCTTGTCAGCATCCTCCTCTAGGTCTTCATCAACTAGATAGGAAGAGGGGTGTAAGTCAACTTGGTATTCTGAGGCATCCCTGTCGCTGAAGAACATAGTGCTGATGAGATGGGGAGGCACATCATGCCCATGGGATGAGGATGGCTGCTGGCTGGGTTGCTGAACTGAGATGAGATTTTCTGAGGTAATGATCAAGTTGTGCATGGCAAGGAAGTTATTGATCTTTTCCTTGAAATTCTGTCCCACAGCTGTCCTAGGAATGTCAGAGCCATCTGGCATGAAAACTCTTCCCCCAATCAGAGAGCATTTCCCAGCTTGTATGTATTTGTGACACAGCACACACTCTGCAGTTCTGTGACCATCTGTCCCTCCACAGAAGAAACACCATGGATTGAAGGAACAACAGAATTGGCCTTCTTGACCTTGTTGAGGAGGTGGGGCAGAAACCAGTTTCTGGGTGACATGAACATACTCTTATTTCAAGATAGTAGGAACAGTTGTCAAGGAAGATGGAGTGGAATTCTGGGGAAACAGTGCCAATGAATCTGGCTGAGGGAGGTTTCATTTGGCCCCACTGAGCAGGTAGTTGGCATGTTTATAGACTGTATTGAACTCCCATGGTTTGTTGATGTCATGATCTAGGTCAGAGAGTTGCAATTGCATGAGCAAGGAGTTCCAAAACCTCAGAGGAAACCCTTCAAGGAATTTCTCATTGATGTAGTCCTCAGGGAGTTTCTTCTTCTTCTGGACAAGGCCAAGGATGTGTCAGAATTCTCAGACATACTTGCCAAGATCTTCCAATGATCCCATTGGCTTCTGAACTTGATGGTAGAGTAAGGTTTCAAGGTTGGCTTTAGTATAGTGATGATCTTTCACCAAGGCTCCTGGATAGTAGTTCAGGAGTTCTTTGGAAAATGCATCCCAGTCATTGAAGCCATCAGTTTCAATGTCTAAGGTGGACCAAAACTCTGCCTCATTGTGGTCAGCATAACAAATGACCCAGTGGATCTTATCTTTTCCAGAAATGAGACCAGCATAAAAGCAGAGTTGTTCAATGTCTTCAAGGTAACAGGTGATATCTTCAGTATTCCTGGAAAACCTTGGGGCTTTGTTGGAACCCCTGAGAGGCATATCTTTTGCTCCAGACATTATGCAAGGTGGTGTGGGGATCTGGATCAGAATTCAGGGAAGGATAGGAGCAGAATTTGAGAGAGTTGAGGCAAGAGTATTCCATATGGGTATTTGAGTAGAAAGGGTGATAGCAGAATTTGTGATTAAGGAGTAGGAAGGAAGGAGGAGCTGTTCAGTGGCTAGTTCTGAATCACTGGATGGCAAGGCCAATGAAGAAGTTAGTTCTGAGAGAGGCAAAAGTTCTTGATGCTCAGCAGGAGGATTGAAGGGTTCATCAAAGTCAAAACCTCCTGGAAACACTGGGTAAAATGCTGGGGACTCTGGGCTCTGAAGGATCTTGTCTAAACTGAGACCTGAGTCTGACAAGTGTGGCTCTGAAATATCTCTGGGATCAGCTACTGGGTTTAATATTTCTGATGAAGAAATAGATAGTCTGTGGAAGGGCTCCAGGAGCTCTTCAAGTTCAGTTCTTTGACAAGTGGGTTATAAGGATCTCCTCTCCAGATCTACAGACCCCTTGCAGTGGGCTCCAAAATGTTGTGGGACATGACTTCTGGGAAGTGTGCAACTAGAGGGAAGCTGAAGGGAGAATTCCCTAGGATCGACCTGAGGGGTGCTGTGTGGAAGGAGAAGTCAAGGATTACCCTAGAAGGGGTGGGGGAATACATGTGAGGGTTACAGAATTGAATTCTGGAGGGATGTGGACATGTGAGGAACAGTGAGATGGGTATATGAAATTCTGAGAAGCTGATTGGCAGATGCAAGAGACATGAAGACCACTGGAGATGCTGTAGACACTGTAGACTCAATATACACACTTAGACTCTGAGAACTCTTGAACTCATGGAACACACACAGATAGTGACTCTAAAGGTGGGTGGTATATTTCTGACATCATGGCAGAATTATATAGTACAAGGGAAGTAGGTACAAGTCAGAGTAAGGTGGGGCAGAAAAACTAAAAGACCAGAAAATAAAGGAGAGGATGACAGACATCAAAGAAATACAGGTGCATGTGAAATGGGCTGGCGAGTAGTAGATGAGAGTAAAATGGGACAACAGTAAGGGGTATCTTCTGACAGAACGAGGCTACATGTACAAGTGAAAGGTGGAGTTGGCAGGAGAGGGAAGCAAAAGAGGGTGGAGCATACTGGCACAAAGTCCAGCTTGTGGAATTTGGGGTGACAGAGGTAACTGGAGTTTTTTGTGAAGGTGACTGACATGGGTGAGTGGTGACATGGCTGGGGGTGGCTCAGCTACTGGATTCCAGATGACTCTGGGTGAGTGTGGAATTTCCAGATCAGCTCATTGATGGCTGGGTGACATGCTGAAGGTTGAGAGAAACTCTGAAGGCAACAGGGGTTGGGAGGCAACATGAGGTTACAAGTGGGAAGAACTCTGAAAGCATCTGAAGGCCTAGAGTGACAGGGGTTTGCTGCAGAGGCCAGCAGAATTTAGTGACAGAATCCTGTTCCAGCCTCAGGGAGTATATGGCTCCCTACAGTGTTTGACCCTCAGCACCCAACAGTGAGCACAGGACCCAGCATGTCTGGCCTGTCACTGCATAAGTACCTTAATATTCTCCCAAAGGTTGAACCCACTGTGGATGAGGTCTCAATATATGTGTTTGACCTTCAGTGTCCAATGGCAACCACAAGATCCAGTGTGTCTGGCCTGTTGACCCACAATGAATGAATTTCGCAATCTGCATGATGTTGATGACATGTTTGTCCTGCTTGTCTTCTGTCCCTGAATGGCTCCAGCAGGGTTCACTGCACAGGCAAGCTCAGCCTTCTTTGGGTTCATGGGAAGACCAGGCATGGTTCCATGGGTCAACCAAAGCACAAATGACACATCATTTGGTGGTGGGATTGAAATGGTGCATGATGGTACATGTAAGCATGGAAAGGGCTCATGCAGAGGATGTACTTACTAAAAAATTGATGTGCCCACCATACCACATAGTTCAGTGCTGAGCTAGAAGGTGATCTTGAATGTGTGGTGATCAGCAAACTTATTCACATAGAAGGAATGAAACATATTATAAGAGCAATGTGGTTTGACATCTCTAGAATTGATGTTGTGAGTGGAGTAAATGGGGATGAGATGAGCTGCATGATATATCATGTTGATATGAATAACAGCAAGGTTTTGGATGTTGCATGTGTGTTGCACAAGGTAGCTTGGGCAGACGATCCACATCCCTATGTCTTCATCAGGGTTATCACCTACATGGTCAAACCAGTGGATGATGGCACATGGGTACACCATCTGTAGATATCTGAATGAAAAGAAACAAAGGACATGAGCAACATCTAAGGCCCCCATGCCCTCTGCCTGTGGGTCAGTTACAACAAACACACAATCAAAGTGAGGGCCTTCATTTCTCCACATGGGGCAGGAATGGATATATTCATGATGCATACTGTAGATGCCACTCAGGTTGCTTGATGCAAAAAAAGTCAAACTTGTGGAGTTGTAGATGCATAGTTTACTGTTGTAAAATGGGCACTCATCAAAAGGAATTTCTTGTGGATCACAGGCATCAGCAGGATAGAGCTGCCCATGGAGAAAGCAATGCAGAATCTCAGGGAACTGTGGCATCTCTAGTTCAGCTGCTAGGGACCCTACATCCTTTGCACATTTATGTTCTAAGATAGACTGATTCAGTACCTATTGGAACTTGAGAAATAGGGCATATGGTATGCACATGCCAATAATACATGTGTGTTGATCATCATGGGGGTATCTACAGTATCGCCAGAGTCCTCCTCATAACTTGCTGTGGGTTCCTCAGCCTCATCCAATGCATTATGACCTTCTGCAATGTCATGGTGCCAATCATGATTGTCATGAGAGTTTTGTCCTAAGTGGCCATCAGAAATCTAAGACAGTTCATGGATGAGAATGCACACCTAACACCTCAAGCACCTGCATTAGACATGTTCCATTCAACATACCATGCTCCTCAAAGTCTGCATGTGCTGCAGCAAGTTTGTTGAGCCTTTGATTAATCAAGAGCATTTGTCCAAGGGCTTGAAAGTGGTTTGTGCACTGATAAGGTTGTTTAATGGCCTTGATATTTTTGGACTCAGTAATCAAGGAACAGAGTCCATTTGGCACACCAAACTGGCAGATAAGATGGTGGTAATGTTTCATTGCATGTTGTCAGGGTAGTGAGAAGGAATCAATGACCCCAGCATTTCAGAAGACTTCATGGTAGTAATGGAAGTGTCTGAGGGCATCATCAATTTCAGCCAGTGATTGCTCTGTGACAACATTTTGATGAATGAGGTAGCAAAATTCAAGGAATGCTTGAAATGTTCATACCATATCTCACAGTACATAGCCCTGGATGGCAGCAATGTAAACCTACAAAGCACAACTCAACAACTAAACTAGAATCAAAGTGCAAATGAAATCACCTTCATCAGTCCATTGTTTGAAGTGCCATCCTTGAGGGAAACATTGCAGGCCAGTGAATGGGGCAACAGCTGCAATTCTAAAGTACTCATGCATGAAATGAATAGCAATGGGCATTTAAGGAAAACACACTGGCAGTCAATGTCATCAAGGATCTTTTCAGCTTTGGTTTTTCCATGAATGTTGATCAGGTTCTTCTCAACCCAGTCCACCAAGTGATCCTTAAAACTGCCTTTAATGAGCTGGTGGAGAATATCTGGGGATAGCATTCTATGAATATCTGTGTGAAAAAAGTCATTTGTAAATGGCTATCTTTGATTAGTCACTGAAACAAAAGAACAGGATTGTACTTACTATTAAATCACTGAAGATTCCATACTTGTCCCATAGATCATGAAGTTCAAGTACAGCAATGACTGTGTCAGAATGATCTCAGTGATGTCTGAGTGCATCTGCATTGAGATTTTCCCAGTGTGTGAGACATTTAGGACATCAATTATGCATGATGCATGACAAGAGCACCTGCTCCTCATAATCAGCTATGTATGCTGCAAGCCCATAGATGACACACTGGTAGTATCCATCACCAAATCAAATGACTTTGGGGACCTTCATTGTGGGATGAAGTGAGTTAAGGATGCGAGTTAGTGATGAATGAAAGAACTGTCTCTTGAATTTACAGAACTCAGGTGTGCTGGCATGCTCTCTTGTTGCTAATGACCATTGACCAGTCAGTAGGGGATGTGGAATCAAATGAAAGAAAGCTTACTTTTGGGCATTGTGAGGAATGCAATTAGGACCACAGTATTGTGGTGAGCATGATGAATGGTGTTGTGCATGTTTCCAATGGAGAGGTACAGTGGGTAGTAATCTGTCTGTCCAGTTGCTACAGACATGGTTGTCTTGTCACTACTGAGTATTATGGGTACTAACATTGCCCTGCCTGTCATTGGGAACTCATGAATGATCCTGTCCTATGAACCTGGGATTAGGACAAGTATATGTCAAATTACAACTACATACCACTTCTTCCCATGCCCAGTTACCAGACATAGAATCTTGCCAGCATCTCTCATTGTTTGTAGCATTATATTCCTGGTACAGTACATAGTCCATTTCAGCTGCCAAATTGGAACTTGCAAGAATGTTGTGGATTACTTTTCATGGGTCTCAATACCATATGTCATAGTTATCAAACATCCAAGGGGCTGTTTCTTCATCTCACACTTCAGCAGTGTACCAGATTGTGAAGTCCTCCCATGAAACTTTGCCAACACAGGTTCTGTTGATTACATGATAGAGCTCTGCATGGTTATTAAATAGTGGATCCCCACCTAATGCAAGTAAAGATGCAGCCCAGATCTCCAGCAACATGTCAAGTTTTTTGGCAGACATTTTGGCATGTGTAAAGAGAAAATTGGTGAGTTTGAACTCCAACCAATTGCGGTATGGAGTCCAGTTATCCAGTGATTTTTGCATGCATGGTGGTAGGGGGCCATCATCTAGTAGAAAGTTTCCTTTGGCATCACATCTTCATGCTGTAATAAAAGTTAGTTAAGCTCAGCATATGTATGATAGCTCACCATCAAGACCAGTGTGATAATTGTGATAAAGTTTCCTCCTGGGGCCAACAAATTCCACCCTCACTTGCTCCCATTCCTGGTCCAGTGGGTCTTGTTCTTGATGGCTGTCATCCACACCTGCAGTGTGGCCATTTACCAAAGGCAGTGTGTTGTCCTGTTGTCCTAAATCACCAGGCAACCCTGCACAGTCTTGGTTGAAAAGATGGAAGCATGGATGGATCATGCGCTTGTGTTGAGCGAGGCCTGGAAGGTTTTTAAACCAACAGTTGCACCTGGGTTCATCACAAGGGTGTTGGAGAGTTTCGAAAGGCCTCTGCATTGGTCTTTGGCAAGTATGGTCATCCCTGGCTGGCAGCATTGTCAGTGTACATATTGAAAAAAAATCATGTTGAGTGCCATGTGGTTGATATGTAAGTCATCAGGGTAAATAGGCCTTAGTCCATGAAATCAGGTCATTTGTTTGCAGGAAATATTACCATAAAATAGACAAGTTCAAACTTACCACTGTTGCCTCCATTTTCCACCTTGCACAATGGGATAATGTTGACCAACAATCCCCAGAGCCATCATCCACAAAGGGAGAAGGCTAACCTACACCCAGGACAGATAGTGCTTGACCTGCAGGTCAAATGATGCACCTGAGCCAAGAAGCAAGCAGACAACTTGCATGCAAAGGCAATCAAAGACACTCAGGATGTTGCCATTCAGCAGGGTGGTGCCCAGGATCCATGAGATGGAGGCCACCATGGAGGTCAGCCAAAGTATGGAAGATTCTGTTGAGAAAACAAAGCCAGTGAAACTGATGAGGGGAGCTATTCAAAAGAAGCTCACTAATATACCCATTGCTCCTCATGTTAATGGTGAGGGCATGTTCTATTCCACCTTTGGGAACTCTGAGCTGATGGATAAATAGATCAGGACAATATGGAAGTTGCTACTCACCATGCCCTCAGCATGCCTCAGGTTGTCACAGATCTTTCAGATTCAAACATGAGAGATAAGATAAGCCATGTCCAAGGGTGGTTCCCAGCAGCCATGCAGTGAAAAGACAATATGTGGTTGCTAATTTGGCTGACTACATTGGTGTTGGGGAGTCAACACATGCACAAGTCTGAGAGGGAAATGCTCACTGTCAACAGTGTTGCACTATTTCTATGATGCTACTTCTAACTTAATCAACTTTACACTGGCTAAATTTGCTATGGAATATCAGCACCCTGAACAGGAGAGCTCTCCTTCTTGGTTGCATCAACAAGTGGGCTAATGATGTTGGCCCCAGTTCTGGCAACAATAGTCCTCAAAACTCTGTTCCTTCTGACACTCACTCCAACTCAACACCCCACCCACTGTCTTTGAATGCCCCTTCCTTGACCACTAATGCTACCAGTGTCAGCTCAGCAGCCTCCAATACAATTCTGGTCTATGGCAGAACTCCCTCAATAAACCCAAGTGGTTTGCCAACTCATGACAAGAGTGGAGACAATGACAAAGATCAACAGGGAGCTGTACCTGTCAGGTTTGCAGGCTATTGTGAGACGAAGGTATGTTATTGATGAACTGATTAAGAACATCATTCAGCCTTAATTCCTATGTTTTCTAGCTGGTCACACACATGGCCAATGCCCATTTTAACTTGGAACTTGAAGAGAGTGATGATGATTTTGACAGGCCCATTTCCAACATGGCCCTGGCCAGTTCTAAGCACAAACATACTGACCATAGCTCTGAATATGTTGTCACTGACATCTGATGTTGATGAAGCAGATGATGATGGCCACCATGATAGAAATATTCATCTATGCACACCAAAGGCCCCTGAGTGCCACTGTGTGACTGCAATGGTATGTCCTCCTGACCCCATGTAGTCAGCTTAGTCACAATACATGGGTAGCCTATGTGCCAAATTACCATTACTCACATAGAGCCTGATGCAGGCCCATCAAATTAATTATGTCACAACATATGAAGAGGCCCAGAGGCCCAGAGTGACAGCAGCAAATGAGCAGGCCCATGACAAGTATATTACAACATATGTGCAGGCCTGAGGAAGGGAAGGATCATATAAAGTATGCACAGGCCCATCCATCAAGAATTGGATAATGGTGAAGACACACAGATGGGCCTGTCTATGGCATAATTTGCACTGTCATAAGTGAAAGAGAGGTCCATCCATCTGTGCATGGATAGTGTTACAGCTTATGGACAGGCCACCCTTGTAATAATGCAGTCAGTCACAACATCAAGGGAGGCCCATCCATTTGGCTACAGCTGATATCACAATTTACAAATGGGCCCTTCTGGTATGCATCAGAGAGGGTTGTGACATATAGACAGGCCTGGAGCCAATAGGCCATGTGTTGGCACAAGGTAAGAGCAGGCCCAGCTGCCATATGAAGGGTGGTGGATGATCATATATGTGGGCCCACTGATAAATGAATGGATGGTGCTTCAAGACATGGATGGGCCCTTCAAAGTACTGAAGCATCCAGTAGCAACAGATAGGAGGGTGCATCAATGGAATGACAGACACTGTCAAAACACATGGGCAGGCTGGTGGCAGAAATGTTCTGCCCCATGGCACCTAATGTGTGGGCCTGTCATCATCAAAGTAGAGGGCATCCCAACCCATGAACAGGCCCATAGAAACTGATGGGTAGGCCTGTCCAGAAGATGTTGCATCCATCCCAACATATGGGCAGGCCTGTCATTTGTGGGGTGGATGCTGTGGCAACAAATGGATGGGCCAGACAAGGGTATGTTGAACCCATCGAAGCTAATGGGCAGGCACATCATATGTGGGGTGGGTGCTGTAATAAGGCATGGATGGGCCCATTGAAAGGATATTGCATCCATCACAACCTATTGACAGGCCCATCCAAGAAATGTTGAACCTGTTGAAACTAATGGGCAGGCCCATCATACATGGGGTGGGTGCTGTAATAAGGCATGGACAGGCCTGTTGAAAGGATATTGCATCCATTGCAACCTATTGGTGGGCCCATCCAAGAAATGTTGAACCTGTCGAAACTAATGGGCAGGCCTGTTCTGGAAATGCAGGGTACTGTTGCAACAAATGGTTGGGCCCATAAAAGTGATATTGCATGTGTCACAACTTATGACATGGAGGGCTGCTAGCAAGCCATGTTGACCAAGTAGAATCAAGTGGGAAAGCCCATTGTATGGATGGCATGTGATTTCATAACACTTGGGCAGGCCTGACAATGTGACATCAAATCCTTTGCAACTTATGGCCAGGCTGATGCATTTATGTGGAAGATGCCAGCACAATGAATGAACAGGCTTGTCTATGCAACATGGCATTCATTGAAATTTATATGCATGCCTATGGTTCATTTTCCAGATGATGACAAAATGCATGATCTGGGCCATCAATTGTGTGACAGTTGAATGTGGCAACAGCAGCAAGGGACCTTGTATGGAATGGTCTGGGCAGTCACAATTCATGAGAACCCATCAAAACTGGCCTGAAGCCATAGTTAAGAGTGCCTTGACCTCATATATATTCAGGTATGTCCAGCATATGGTAGATAATGGCCCACTCAATGGATAGACCTAACACTCATCTCAGACATTTTGTGAAAGTTCCCCACAAATAGAAATGGAGGTGGCAAGTGAAGGAAATGTATTCAGCAAGTTCCCATGCCTTAGTGACATTTTTGGAGTTTTGATTGCAAAGGTCCAAGTAACAATGCAGCCAAATGCCATTCTGGCAAAATTGCAGGTGTGGTGGCCAGTGGGCAGATTGAAAGTAGCATCCACTCACATACATGGCTAACCTGACGACAAGCTGAATATCAAAGGTTCAGCAATGTGTACCAACTGATGCTGTGAATGCTGGGACTGGTATCCATGCTGGTTTTGTCAAGAAGTGAATCCCCATCAGCTTGGCTGTCATAATATTGTGAACAAGGGCACCTGCATCACATCATATATCAACTTGGGCATATACAACCATTGTAAAGATGAATTGTCATGCAGATACATCCATGATGCTTGTCAAGTCTGGGCCTACTCTGACCAACTCCAATGCTGGACAAGGTCTGGGGAGAGGTTTGGAAGCAAGTCTGACAGAAGGAGCAGGACTCCAGCTGGTGGAGTGTTGGCAAGGACGAAGTCTGCTGAAGGTAAGGGTGGAGTGAAGTGAGGGCATTGGGTTTAGTTCATGCACTACCCCCTTGCATGATCTCAGCCCTTGTATTTCAGAGGGGGAGTACAGATGGACAGTCAGAGGTAACTCTGACAGGCAGAATGGAGACAGAGGGAGTAGGAACTAAGTCAATATTCATACTGAGGAATGGCAGAGTATGATACATGCTTTTATACTACTACAGAAGTACAGTAACCAGAATTGGAACTGACATACAGAGACCCAGAAATTTTCAAGTAAAACTTCCCAGATGAATGAATGAAGGGTAGACAGAGGACATATGAATGGGTAACATAGAACATCCAGAAAAGGAAACAGTCCAGGCACTGGACCATGCAGGTGCACACACTGCAGGAGTACCTGACTGTGAGCTGTCAGGGAGGAGTCCTGAAGGTAGTCACATGACCCCTCAGAGAATGGTCTGTTCAGTCCAGTAAGGAGAGCAGTACAAGTCTGACAGCAATTGGAGTGGAGATGACTCATAAACATCAGGGGTGGGTGGAGTTGGTGTGGAGTGAGCAAATGACTGGCAGAAAGGGGTGTGGAGTGAGTGAGGACTTAGGATGAATGCACAATCATGGCAGTGCCCCCCCCTTAGGGCCTGAACCCCTGAAGGCTGCATGTATGAGATGGGGTCAACACAAGTTGATCATTTGAAACCATTTTGATGCCTCAAGGATAATGGCTTTAGCTGCAGCAGAGCTCCATCAGAGTCTGAAGAACCACTTAAAAAACATGTGTTAGGGTACCAAACCTTTGTCCTTTCTCCCCATCATCATGTCCTCCCAGCACCAGAGCAAAACCCCCCAGCCAACCCCTGGTCATGTCTGTGACTACTCCCAAGTTGTGGATGATGAACTGGTTGTCCTTACTGATGACTCCACCAACACCGAGTGGGAGAAGTCCATGGAGAAGGCATGCTGATGAGAGGAGACCAAGCAGAGAGAGAGAGAGTGCAAGGAAGAGTGCAAGGCCAAGCACAAGGAGGCCAAAAGGCAGAAGGTAGGAGGAGAGGTTGGAGGCAGAGCAGAGGAAGAGAGTGGAGGAGGAAGAGGAGGCCCAAAGGAAGAAGGTGGCAGAGAAGGAGGCAGAGGGCCTCTGAGGAGAGGGCCCAGGCCAGATGGGATGAGATTGCACAAAGGTGAGTGGTGGAGTACTATGAGTCAGGCAGAGCTGACTCACAGCTTTACCTTTCTTAGATTATGTGGCATGGTGTACAATGTCAACACTGCCCAGAGGGTCCCTGGGACCTCTGTTGTGGTCACCACAACCAGGCAGCCCCCCTGTACTTGCTGTGTAGCAAGTCTGACAGTGGGGCAGTGCAAGCTGGGACAAGGCAAGACCAGGGCCTGCATGCCCTGCCAAAACAAGAAAAAGGTGTGTAGTTGGACAAAGGAGGATGCTGTGGCAGGGCCCTCATGGAAGAGAGCAGGGACAGGAAGTTCCCAAGGGGAGAAGAAGAAGAGGTTGTGAGGGAAGGGGAAGGAGAGAGTGACAGAGACGGAGGAAGCAGATGATGAGCAGGAGGTAGGTGGTGTAGATGAGGAGGAGCCAGAGACACCACACAAGGGACCCTCAGGAGTGGGGGCCTCTTCCTGGTGGGCAGAGTGGGAGTGGGAGCAGCAGCTGCAGGCTGTGGAGAGGTATGCAGAGGTGCACAAGAAGGCTGTGACAGCCTTCAAGAG